CAGAGCCTTGTGCCTGCAGCCATCTGAGCTCAGGGCCCAGCATAGACAAGGAATGGGGAGCCATGGGCCATCTGGCAGACCAGGGGCTGAGGGAGCCTGATGCCGTGCTGCCTCATGGGTCTGTGTGCTCGAGAGTGAGGTAAGTGGCCCTTATGTCCTGGGACCCTGAAAAAACAGGATCAATCCCAAACTGATGAAGGTTACATTTCTGCCCTATCAGGAGTTACAGAGGAATGCAGTGTACAGACTCACATTCTCCCCAGCTGGTACCTGCCGCACACCCCAAGTCTTGCTTTTATTCTCCCAATTTCTCCCTCAGTCAAGAATAGAGCCCCATACCTAGCGCAAGAGCAAAGGTGAAGCTGCACTGGGAACATGCTCTGCCTGACCCTGCATTTCTGGTTCTTGGACAGAACCAATCTAGTGGGTGACATCGGCACTGGTGCCCCAGGAGATCCCAAGGGTTGGCTGGAGGCATCAGTCACCCTCCCCATCCTGTGAGGCCTTCAGTTCTACCCCCTCTGAAAGGAACGAAGGCAGAGTGGCTAGGTCCACTAATGCAAACCACTTGTGCCACCAGGAGAGGAAGGGGCTATGCTTCACACGTGGTCCAGCCTCCTCTCCCGAGAGCCTTGGCAGTGTGGGGAGGGCTGCACAGATGAGAGCTACCCTTCAGACTGGGCTCCTCCTCCAATCACCCCGGGGCTTTCTGCTTAGTTCCCTGCAGATGGGCTTAGTGTGTGAAGTAAGGGATCAGTGGTTTTAGGAATTCTGACTGGACAAGCTTGACAACCATCTCCATCTCTTGCAGATCAGGGGCCAAGATACCATAATAGATTTGGTACCTAAAAGGAAACACCATGGTACCCTAAAAGGAAACTCAACCGCTACCCAGTTTCAGCCCATCCTGAACTCCTTGAGACCAGAGGGATGATAACTGGTTTCACTTCCAGGACTTGTGGTGCCAGGCCTCTAGCCTCTCTTTGCCTGTCCCCTTGTAGGGAAAGTTGGGACCCTCAGGTAGGGTTAGATTAGGGAGCCAGACCCTTTTAAGCAGTAGAAAACAAAATGCCTGAGCATCACAGCAAGCAGCCAAATTGCTTGACTGTGGGGTTTATTTATTTTATATATTTAGTACAGGGTCTACTGAGTCTTACTACACAAATTGGACTCACAGTGATTCTCCTGCTTTCAGCCTCCCAAGTTCTGGGATTACAGGCATGCGCCACCATGTCCAGTCTCATTCACTGTCTCAGTGGGCTGGGGCTGGCACAGCAAGCCAGGGATCGAACCCTGGTCCCTGTGCCTGCCTAAACACACACTTTAATCCACTGAGCAATCTGGCTAGCCCCTGCCTGTGGCTTTGACACCTACCCCTGTGCAGGTGACACTGTCCCTCCTAGCTCAGGCTGCCATGCCTATACACGTTCTCCACTTAGCCCACCAAACCTACCTAGCACAAGTCCAATAACCAATCAAATAGTGGTCCTTGGGTGGAACTCTATCTCTAATGAGTAAAACAGGACTACTGCTCTAGATTCAGCAGTGACCAGCCTTGGCCTCCCACTCCTCTGAGTCACTTTGTATTGCTCTCTTTTGCAAATAAACTTACTTTAGCTTTGTACCAGTCTTCTGTCTTGACTCCTTCCTCTTCCTATATCAGAGAAAGAGGGAGAGGGAGAGAGGGAGTGAGGGAAGGATGGAAAGATGGGGAAGGGAAAGATGGGGGAGAGGGAGAGAGAGACAGAGAGACAGAAGGAGAGAGGGAGACAGACAGACAGCAGACAGACAGACAGACCTGAGTGGTCTGGGGACCCTAGACTCAGACTCTGAACATAACACCCTGTCTGATTTCCAGCCACAATAACACTCTTTCTGTCCTTGTGGACTGCCAAGCACTCTCGTGCCATGGGCCCTTTCTGTTGCCTGAGCCCAGAATGCCCTTGCCCAGCAGATTTTGACACCCTTTCATGCAAATCTAGTACTTATCGGTCTTCCTGGCCACACAGTCCACCTGATAGGTGCTGTAAACCAAATGCTGAACAGCCCTGAAAAACAGAATCATTGTCTTCTCACAGAGAAGAATATGCCCAAGGGGGAATGAAATGGCCCAGAGCCACACAGTGGTGGTGAGCACAGGGGCCAGACTCTGGTTCTTGTGACTCAGTGCCAGCAACCTTTTTATGTGTGCCACCAGCTTCGTGTCCACACACGACTCCAAGGATTTGCCCGATTCTTTGGGAAGCCTAGGGCTGGGCTCACGTGTGAGTTTCTGGGTGTAGGCTTCTCTGCTGTGATCAGCAGAGCTCTTGCTTGGAGAGGCAGCCGCCCGTGCTCAGTGCTGGACCAGCTCTTCCATCCTTCAGGAGAACTGTTTCCAACTCACAGCCAGCTGCTTTGGGTCTTGGGGCCCTTCCAGCCCTGCTGGGCTGTGAACTTTGGCGGTGATGACCAGGATTCCTGCCCACACCCTACACCCGCAGACCCCACCCCTGTAGCTGTGTCTCTGCGTTCTGCTATCTCTGGAGACAGCCACGTGTGCACCAAATGCACTTTGGGAAATCACCCCAGGCCCCAATCACAAAACTGCCAGGAAACAACTGCTCAGGGTCCACATGAAAGGCATTCTTGGACAATGTTTCTCCACCCTCCCTCATCCCAGCTGCAGAACTTTCCGCTGCAAATTATTGCAGCAAGCGCTGCCTCGGATTGGTTTGTGAAGAGGGCGCTAGGTCTTGCTTCTTTATTGCTCCCATGTGTGCAGAATCAACTCGATTCCCCTGGCAATTTTCCTCCCCACCTTGTGGAAGGAAGATGCTCAGAGGAGAGCAGACAAAGGGCCTTTGGGGCCCTGGATCTCCCCTACAGGGCCCCTGCCACCTTCCAGACTCTGTGACACAGGCAGAGTGGGGAGGAGACTGCAGTCCTGTTGTAAACCTCCCCCTGCACTGAGTCCTCAGGAAATCCAGGAAAGTGGCAAGAAAGCAGCTTCCCCAGGTCTCTTGTCTGTCCTAGAAATGACAGCCACCAGCATCACTGAGCACATACTGAGTGTGGATGCAAAGAGGAGGAGGAGGAGGAAGAGGAGAAAGGCAACAGGAAACTAAAGATTTCATGTGCACACAATGACACATTGTCCTTTTCACCCATTCAGGGAGACAGGGAACTGCCACACATCATACCTGGGGATTATGTTCCTAGGCTGCTTCAGTGGCCAGAGATGCATCTAGACCACCCTGCCCTTGATGGCAACTGGCTCTACCCTGAAAAGGGCCCTGACACCCACAGATGCTGCTCGTTGCTGCCATTTCCAGAATAAGCTCAGGAGCAGCTATGTCTCCAAACCACACTAGAATCCTTCATGCAGGGGAAGCATTCCAGGGTCTGTATCGCTTTTCTGTTTTGGGGGAGTACTGGCGATCGAACCCAAGCATTCACAGTGAGCTACATCCCCAGCCCCTTTTGTTTTTTATTTTGAGGCAGAACTTGCTAAGTCACTGTCAGAATTTACAATCCTCTTGTCTCAGCCTCCCAGAGTACTCGGCTCACAGGCATGCACTACTGTGCCCAGCCAGAATTTCATTTTTAAATACACATTAGTGCCTGGTATAATGAAACACATGCTGCATACCGATGAAATGTAATGTTCAAGCTGAATAACAGAATGTTTCATTTACGGGTAAATTTACGACTCCCTGTAGGGGGATCAGTTAGTACCAAGTCCTTCCCACTTCCCCTGGGCTCGATGTGAAGCCAGATTGTTCCCTGACACCACAAGGGAAAGACAGGGGAAACGGGGTGAGAACTGGGGCACGGGGAGGAGGTTTCACATTTCCAGCCCGTGAGTGATGGTTCTCCTGGGTGAGGACCACGGAAGGGGTCGCACAGGCCAGGCAGAGTGCTGAGCTGATGGGGACGGCCGTGCTTTACCCTGAAGAGATTGCTGATCAGTATAATTGTGCCAGGAGACTCTCTCCACACTCACAGGCTCAGCGTTCTAAGCATGCTCTTTTGTCCAGGGCCAACCAGCAAACACTGACTGAGTGCCTACTATGTACCAGACACTGTTTCAGAGGCTGGGGATTAAACAGGTATGAAATGATCAGGTCCCCAAGGAGCTGGCATCCCAGTGGGAGTGGAGAAGAACATGGAAATCCCAGGAGCTGGAAGGGCTAGAAGGAAGGCGATGTGGCAGAGAGGTGGCAGTTTCAGAGGGCTTCTTATTATTTTTTAAATTTAAGTTTTATAGGGCCCTGCCAAATAGCTCAGCAGATTAAAGCACCTGCAAGTAGGAGCAGGGGCCGAGGGTTCAATCCCTGGGCCTGCCATGCCTGTCCCACCCCCGGGGTACGCTGAGATTGCAATTGAGACTGAGCATGGTGGCTCACGCCTGTAATCCCAGCTCTTGGGAGGCTGTAAACAGGCGGATCACTAGGAGTCCAATCTAGTAGTGAGACCCTGAATACCCTGTCGACCCTGCCTTAAAGTACAAAATAAATAAATTTAATTTTTATTAGTACATGTTTGTAATCATGCAGGTTACAATCATTATAGGGAGTGGTTAGATATAGATATAGATACAGATATAGATATAGATATAGATATTATAACTTGGCTTTTCTTTTTCTCTTAATCCCTTTCCCTCCTCTTCTGGTCCCCATATTACTATTCTCTTTCTTTTTTTAAAGGTACAGGGTCTCACTCTGCAGCTCTGACTCATAGTGATCATCTGTTTTCAGCCTCCCCAGCACTGTGATTACAGGCTTGTGCCACCACACCCAGTCTCTGTAGCCCGCTCAGCATGCCCGGGGTGGGGCTGGAATGCCATGTGGTTCTGGGGATCAAACCCTGGTCCCTGAGCTTGCCTAAGCAGGCGCTCAACAGTGTCTTGCCATAGTAGGCACTCAAGCTATCTTGCCAGCCCCATGGTACCATTTGCATACTTGTTGACATTATCTGTCCTAGCTCATGTTATGGCACATTCTATTTACATTAATTGGAAAAACACGGAACGCTCCACGAATTTGTGTCACCCTTGTGCAAAGGCCACATTTCCCTTCTCTGTATTGTCCCAGGTTTAGTATATGCGCTGCTGAGGGGGGCATAGACATGGCTTCTTAAACAGTGGCACTGAGCTGAATCCTGAAGGCTATGACAGAGAGACACCTGAAGAGGGAAGACAAAGGGGTGGAGAGTCGGGGTCCCCTCCTCTCGACACCCCCAGGAGGTCAGTACATTAAGTGAGCGCTCCATGCTGCACTAATAAAGGCAAGAACAGACTCCTGCAATTGATGGGAGGTATTCCTGGCCCAGGAGCACTCGCACTTCATTTATTTATTTGCAGCACTGGGGACTGAACCCAGGGCCCTTGCACTGAGCTACATCCTCAACCTTTTATTTTTTTCACTATGGGTCTTGCTAAATTATTAAGCTGTCCAGGATGTGTTTCAGTTTACAGTGTTCTTGCCTCAGCCTCCCATAGTGCTGGGATTTAGGTGTGTGTCACCACATCCAGCTGGCACTTGCATTTTAATACAGTTTAGGCAACCCCTGCTCCAAGGCAGAGAAATTGTCCAAAACTTGTCAATAAGCCAAAAGATTACTGTGCACCCTTTAAAATCTTCTTAGACTTGATGTGACATACTACTTACCATGGACTAAGGCTCAGACCTTATAAAAATAATGTTAACTACACAAAATTGGCAAGTTGCCAAAGATTTCTACACCCTCAGAAAAAAAAGGATAAGGCTGGTGTGGTGACATATGCCTACAATTCCAGAATTTTGTAGGCTGAGGCAGGAGGATTGTAAAATTAGAAGTCAGCCTGGGCAATTTAAGGATTAGTAAGAGCTTGTCTCAAAATACACGAGAGAGAGAGAGAGAGAGAGAGAGAGAGAGAGAGAGAGAGAGAGAGAGAGAATGAGGAGGAAGAGAAAAAGATGAAGGAGGAGGAGAAGAAGAAAAGCCCAAAGGCTACAGGTTGATTATCCCATGAAACATTAGCCGGTTTCGTATCTAGGTTAACAATTTAATGTGGACATTTTTGCATCGGCTGTACATACTTCAGCATCCAGTGTCTGTCTTTGAACCAGCCTTACCGGCCTGCTGGGCTCCCTTGATCATGAGTTAAACAAATCTGTGACACATGTTCACTCGACATTTGTATGAGAATTGTGCTTTAAATTTTTCACAATTACACTTTGAGTCAACATTTGGAACCTATTAGGACCATCTGCGGGGCACTTAACCAGCACTTGGGGACCCAGGCATCCTCTTTGGTGTTCAGAGGCAGAGTATGGCTTGAGGCTCTGGCGCTGTGCTTTTAAGACTGAGTGAAAGAGGCAGCTTTGATGCGACTTTCCACAGCTGGTACCCATGAACGCTCATCCCATCTTAGCCATTCTCGCCTCGGGCCGGAGGATGCAGTTTCACCCTGAGGATGGAGATTGAGGTCAGGGGCAGTGGGAGGTCTGCAGCTCTCCTCTGGGCCTCTGAGATGCTGACCTGTGGTGCTACACCAGGTTCATCACAGTGGATGTTTCCCTGGCTGCTGCAATCAATCTCTACAAACTTGGTGGCTTCAATCATGCATGCACACGCACACACACACACACACACACACACACTTACACACTTTTATTCTCTAACAGTTCTGGCATCCAGGAGTCTGAAATAAAACTTCCAGGGCTAATATCAAGATGTCAGCTACCCGTTCCCTCTGCAACTCGGGGAGGAAACTTTCCCTGTCTTGTCCAGCTGCAGGTGGCTTCCAGCATCCTTTGGCCTTGGGCACTGCCCCCACACTGTTTTCTTCCTACTGCCCATGGCTTTAGCTGCAGCTCTGTGACTGCCCTTGTAGGGCCTTCCTCCTATAAAGACCTTGCAACTGCACCCAGTCACCTGGAGCAACATGTTCTGGGATGAGGGCACCTGGCAGGGGGTGCCGAACAGCCCACTGACCATTGCGTCCCCAGCTCCTGCTGTGAGGAGAAACTCCCCTCCCCCGACACACACATGTGCTCTTGTCCTTATCAGGGACCCACTGTGTTCTCCATACACAGAGTTTTGCAAACTCTAAAACCAGAGTTGTGCTGATTATAGCTAGGCTCAAGGGCATAGGAGAGAACTGAGGGCAACTCTGGGAAACCCAGGACCCCACATGGTGGGGACATATTCCTGCCACCCAGCCTGATCATTACGACCTCTCCTCAGCAGCCACTTCCATCCGGGCTGCAACTCCATTCAATGTTCCATTGTTAAGAAGAAAAAAAATCCTATCTGCTATTTATTGTTTCCATGGATAATGGGAACGGAAGGTTGCTGCAGATTTGTCTCCATGAGGTAATCAGAATCTTTGAGCCCCACAAAAGCCTGCTAGGGAGAGGCGGAAGGCTCATGTTCCTGCTCCACCTGAGGTGGCCCTGGTTTGTGAGGGTGAGCAGGAACACTGTGTGTACTGTCGAAGGCACATCTGCCACAGCCTGCACCAGCACCAGTGGCTTGGCGAGTGCGGTCAGGGCAGGTCACCTGGCAAGCAGGACAGAGTTAGACCTCCTTGAGCAGCACACAGCCTGCACAGCTGTGCACAGCCACCTCCACCTCCTGACACACCCCTGTGCTCCCTCAGTCTATGAGCTCATTTCACAAAAGTGCAGTGGTTATAGTGCTCAAAGCTTACACACACACAAATACACACACACACACACACACACTGTATACACACATATGTTTCCAACCCTCACAACAACCCCATGAGAATAGTCAAGCTGATATTACTATCCGTTTCAGAGATAAGAAAACTGAGGCTGAAAGACAGGGCTCATTTGCAAATATCACCTGGCCTCTGAGCCATGGTACTGGACCTAGATGTGTCCTCTCATGGTGTCACTTAGAGCACAGTGACCCTGTGGTAGAGAACAGAGTGTATGTCTTCTGGGGCGAGGTTTTCCTCCTGTCATCTCCTTTCCACAGCCCAGACTCGGGGACCCTCTCTGTCCCTAGAACTCCCCCTTCCTGCTTCTATGGGAGTCTCCTACCTCTTTTGCCAGCCCTGCCTTAGAGATAATCAGTGACTACTGCCGCCCTCTGCACAGATACATCTCTTCCAGGCTGTGGCAGCCAGATCCCAGAGCTTGTGTGAAGGAGTAGAGGACTGGCCTATCCAGGTGGGTGTGGCCCAGATGGTCACAGGGCCTTGGCTGTAGGTCCAGACTGTGGATGTCACATAGCGGGGGCCGCTGGCCATCCAGGCAATGCCAGGCCTAAAGCAAACCCAGCAGACACCTACAGAAGAACCTGTGCCCCATGGAGGCCTGGAAGATGCTCTGCACCCTGCTTTGGCCCTGCTGGAGAGCAGGCTTGATGGTCAGGCAGGGTGAGCTCTGAGGGGTTCTCAGCGATGCCCTGGAGTCTTTGTGCCTGTGACACTGAAGGGCACTGTGTGGAGAGGCCCGCAGCACCTCATCTGTCCTTTGCCTAAATCTCCCCTAGGTGGTAATCCAGGCCCCTAGAGATATGTGGGGACAGCTACCAGCCCAAGGGACACTGGAGCAGGGCAGCCACTGTGATGGACCTTGTCCACAACCCCTCTTCATTTTAAATTCTCACTCAGCAAGTATTTCTTGAGAGTCTTCCAGGGTGGGTACAGGGATATGCTGGGCTGGCCGTGCTCAAAGTCATTTGTGGGGCAGGGCATGGGGGGTGGGCAGAACTCCACGATGCTCCATTGGGTGGGGTGACACAGGCACAAGGACATTGAGCAGAAAATTTTTTATAGTGGCAAAACCCTGGACTCCTGTGCAACCATTAAAACAAGCAGCAGCATCTGTCCTTCAAACCGTGACATCAAGAAAAACAAAAGGACAGAAGGAGCTGCAGGATTGCGAATACCAGGCCACGACTTGGGTGGGGAGAAAGGAAGTATGCATGTATATTATGTGAAGGTTTCAGCTGATCAAAAGCTTTAAAAAAAGAAAAAGAAAAAAAGAACCTGTCAGTCGTGTAGAAAATAGACTCCATGTACAGTTTTTCAGAGAGAGAACTTAATTCAGGAAACTGGTTAGAAGAGTAAAAGATGCAAGAGCTGAGAAACCAAATGGGAAGGGCAAGGAATCAGGAGATTCACCCTGAGGAAGCCACTGTTTCTCATGACCCAGGAGGACTAAGGGTGACACTGTGAAGATCAAGGTGTGGTGTCACCAGTGGCCACTGCGGTGCTTGTTTCATCCTACATGGAAGGCTGCCTGGGAGACCCCTGCGTAGACAGGAGGAACAGAGGGCTCTTCTCCTCTGGCCTCTTCTCCCTGGCCCATGGCCTCCCATTGGCCAAACCCACTCTGAAGCTGACCCAGGACCTGGGGGACGGTGGCTGTAACCGGGGCCTCCTGCTAGGCACAGAAGAAGGGATGTAGGCAGGCAGGGATGCCAGAGTAACGGCGCCTGGCATGGTACAAGTGTACTTGAAACCAAGTCTCTCAGGGACCACAAAAGAAAGACAAAGGGTGGCTGCCTGTTGGAATTGGGGACCAGTTGGACACAGTGGATGTTAGGACTCTTGGGTATTTTTACATTTCATGTCATCAGCACACACTGCTTGTTGGAAACAAGATGTCTGCATGGTGTCAATGTCTGGTACGCTGGTCAGGGCAATTCTGCTGTGCACACATATGACATTACTGGAAAACTTCCTCCCAGCATGGACACCAGCAAGCTCCCAGCACCACTGTAATTACTTTCCTCTCCAAAGCCAGCACAGTGGTTTGTTCTGTGCTGCAGGTTTCACAAGTACCCTCTTCAAGGCTCTTCCACTGTCTGTCAGGGAGAAAAGCAGCCAAATGGAGCTGGTGGGGAAGACAAAGATTGTGCTCTGCCTGCAGCTGAGTGTCCTCACACCACATCTGTGACCACTTAGGGCACTGCCGGCGGAAGGCCTGTGACAGCTCCACACAACCCCCAGCCCCCTGGGGGGCTGTGTTGTGAGCCCCCATGGAGGCCCCAGAGACAGCACATATTTGCTGGAGCCCTGGGTGCCTACAGGATGAGGACACAGGACCATCATGGGACCCCAGAAAGAGGGTGGCAGGGGAAGAAGTCAGAGGCCACTG